CAGATTGGGTTTCCTGCTTATGTTTTTGTAGTTGCTTCTTTACTTCATCTGCTATGAGTTCTGAGAGTTATTTTTTTATTTCAGAAAAGAATTGCGCTCTGATTTCCTCTATATCTTTCTGCTGGTGCTTATTTACTATGGACGCTATTCATGCATTTGAGCTGCGCTAGTGTCCTCTGCACTTGTTCTTGGTGGGCACTGGGTTTCCTCCATATGTTTCTGCATTTGATTCTTTAGTGCAGATGTTATTAATTCAGGGATTTCTTTTTTTATTTCCAATCTGAAGTCTTCTGTATCTTTCTGCAGCTGTTTCTTTATTTCAGAAGTCGTTGATTCATTGCTTTCAGCTCTGTGATTTCCAATTTGTTCTGTGTTAGTGTCTTTTGCACTTGTTACGGATGGACTTGGGTTCTGAGGTTGCATTTTGTTTCTTCTCGTCATTTTGTGTAGCACCGTCTTCTGACCTTTGTTGTAGATCTTTGCTGTAGTTATAACCTTCACATGTACTGAAGTTCAGGTGCAGCTCTACACAGGTTGGTCTTATCCATCTGTTCCTGGCTTAGGTCTGGCTGTTTTGCTCAGCTCCTTCCCACTGCTGCCCCTGAGGGTGAACCTGTTGTGCCTCTGTGGCAAGATGTTCTGCTTCAGGACTAGCTGGGTGGATCTATATTCTACACTCTCTGCAGGGATTGCAGCTGCAGGGTTGCACTCCAGGCATGTATGCCAGGCCTGAGCTGTGCCTGGAGTGGGCAAGTTGGAGTAGGGGGGAGAGGAAGCTCTCCCTCACACTCACTGGGTCTGGGGTAGGACTGTGTCTGGGGGTTCCCGGAAAGCAGCAGAAATTCCTACTCGATGGGCGGGGTGGGTGAGGTGCTGCAGAGTGGTGGGGGGCATCCCAAGGGGGTGGGAGAGGCTCTGGCCCACGCTGTGCCTGGGCTGGGACTGGTCCTGCTGGCACAGGGTAGCAGGAAGCTCTCCCACACACTTACCGGACCTGGGCTAGGACTGGGTCTGGGGGATCCCGGAACACGGCAGAAATTCCTACTCGGAGGGCGGGGTGGGGAATTTGCAGCGTAGTGGTGGGGGGCATCCCAAGGGGGTGAGAGAGGGTCTGGCCCACACTGCGCCTGGGCTTTGACTGGTCCCACCGGTGCAGAGTAGCAGGAAGCTCTCCCACACACTCACCCGACCTGGGCTAGGACTTGGTCTTCGAGTTTATCCTTTTTTATAGCTAACTAATACTTCATTGTGTAAAAATACCACATCTTTTTCATTCGTTTCTCAGGTGACGGATATCTTGGTTGTTTCCAAGATTTGGCTATCACAAATTGTGCTGCTGTAAACATAGGTACAGGTATATCACTATGATATGATGTTTTCAGTTCCCCTGGTAACATTGCCACAAGGGAAATAGCTTGTTTGAATGGGATTTCCAGTCTTAGTTTTTTAAGGAGTCTCCACACTGATTTCCATAATGGTTACACCAGTGTACATTCTCACTAGCAGTGGAGAAGGGTTCCTTTTCCCCCACAGCCTCTCCAGCATTTGTTGTTGGGTGATTTCTTTATGATAGCCATTCTTTCTGGGGTGAGATGATATCTCAGTGTTCTTTCAGTTTGTATTTCACAGGTGGCTAGTGATGTGGGGCATTTTTTCATATATTTATTTACTTCTTTAATTTCGTCCTTTGAGAAGTGTTCATCTCAGATGCCCATTTCTCTATTAGGTCTTTAAATTTTGGGTTCCTAATGTAGTTTAGTTCTTTATAAATTCTAGATAGCAGACCTTTGTCTGAGTGCTTATTTCTGAAGATTTTTTTCCCCCAGTTTGTGCTTTGTCTTTTCAGTTTGTTGGTAATTTCTTTTGACATGCAAAAGCTTCTCAATAAAAGGAAGTCCCGGTTGTTAATTCTTTCAAGTGCTACCCATGTGATTTGATTTTTGTTCATGAACTCTTTGCCTACCCCTATGTCCTCAAGAGTTTCTCCTACTTTCTCTTCCAGGAGATTTAGTGTTTCTGTCTTAATGTTTAGACCTTTAATCTATTTTGACATTAGCTTAGTGCATGGTGATACACATGGGTCAAGTTTTAGTTTTGAAATTTCTTCTATGGGTTGTTGCACTTTTGGTATCTGGCCCTAAGTGATAAGATTTTTTTTCTTGTTTTAGTTTTTGTTGTA